ACAATATGATGTGGGAAAAAAATCATAGTCACATCTGAAGGTCTCATACCCTTGTAAGGCTTGTCTTGGCATCTATTTTTTTATTTTGTTATTTGAAAGCTTCATTAAAATCTCTGGCTCTCAGGTCCACATGCACTGAAAATCTACAGCTCCATGTTTAGCAGCTGGGTGCATGCAAGTGCTTATAATAACTAAAGAGAGGCTTTTGTGTCTCCTTGGATATGATTTAGGATAGTTTTAGTTGTACAAAGTACCTGTGTATTAAATCTTTTCCAATACACTGGAGTTAAACTAAGTTATCAAAGGGGAAAACATCTGCAAATAATTTGTTCACTTGTTTTCAGATTGCCCCTGTTCGACAAAGGAACCTCACCCTTCAGTGAAGTTTGTGTGTGGCAGGAACTTCACAATACATTAAAGATGTTTAAACTCCTCTAAATGGTGAAATATTTTGACTATCTACCAGATTCAACTGAAATGATTTCATATTCCTTCAGGTTTTTGAACAGAATACAATTTTTAGATTAAACACAAAAGATACTGTTAAAAACTAATAGATAAAGATAAAACTGCCTTATGGAGAGCTCAAAAAGCAGTAACAAAATCAGAAACCGATGACAAACAGCATGCATGATTTTATAGTAAATGCACAGCTTTTCCTTTTAAGTGTTGGTTGCTGAGAAAACAAAGCATGTCCAGCTGATGTGATAAGCATACAACCACTAATGGTTAAGAAGTCTGAGGATCTTTGCAAAGAAAATGTACAACCCTGAAAGATCATTAAGATTTTATTATTAAACTCTCAACACCAATATGAATACTCTTCTGTAATCAGCCTAGTATGGGTATGAAAGACTGAAAGAGACTGTCTCTGCCCACCAGATAATATTTTAGACTTCACTCTGGCACCAGAAGATCTGTAGTTTCAGCCACCTTTTAAAGACAGGCAGACATAATGTCATGAAGAACTATAGTTCTTTGTGTACATCCTAAATAAATTTCTTCTTACCTTGACTTCCTCCTAGAGTGGCTAGTCGAAAAGTTTCTTCAAGAGTTAGTCCTGTTTCATTTATTTTATTGATCTGAAGGCTATTAGATGCCATCATTGTCTTCCTGATGGCATCAAGCATAGAAGCAGAATACCCACCGGCAACATCTAGAAGGGATCAGACTCTTAAAAACAAGCTTTGGAAATTTTCTCTCGTTTAAACTTCTGTGAACTTTAATTAAATGTTACGAAAGGGCAGATGTAAACGCAAAAAGTTTTACTGCTAAGCACCGTCTCTGAATGTGTAATTCCTAATAAAGGTGGTCTCACGTACAAAATCAGCTACATAAAATACAACACAGCATATCAGAAACCTGAAAAGTTGTTGTTCAAGCCCTATTCACTCTCATGACAGGAACAAAACTTTCTTCATTCATTTTTTTTGTTTTCTTTCTGAACACTTTTGGACCAGCTATAGATTTTAGTACTCCAGACTTCATTACTATAGAAGCAGTGGGGAAAAAAAAGCAGCTCTGTAATTTGAAGGCATGCTGACCTTTAAATACAAACAAGTAGGCATGTTTTCACATCTCCCAGTGACTCTCAAAAGAAATCATTTTTACAGCAAACTACTAACCTGTGCCAAGGCCAAGCTTCACGTTGTGTTTCAGGACGTTTTGTACATTTAAGACACCGCTGCGCAACCTGGATTGGAAGAAGAAATGTATTCTGCGTGATACATGCAGAAAAGTTCAGGAAGAGTAGGGCTGCACAGCCATTTCATGAAAAAGGCTCTCAGAATGCATGGAATAGATTGCACGTATTAAACTGGGATGGAGTATTTGCATTCATACCTCAGAAAGATGATGTTTAGTCATTTAAAAATAAAGGCAGTTTTTCTCAATTAAAAACTCTTAAGTTTTATATTTATCTGCTGAAAATGAGTTCCCATTATACCTGTGAAAAAATCCAAATATGATGTAAAGCATATTCCAGGAGATGGAAGGCCATTGAATGACCTCCAGTAAGTCATCACAAACTAGACACTTAATGTGAAAGGCAAAATGACTGTTAAAATTTAGTACAGTATCCTGGCTGGACACCATACCATATCTCATTTCTGCTTAACAGAAAGAAGACCATATAGCTCATTCCCATTTCCTCAAAATATACACATACTTTGAGGGGAAGAGAGATGCCATGAATCTATCGACAGAACAGTCAAAAGAAAT